AACCACCCGTGTCATGGTCCTCCCTCCCAAACAACGGCCAACTCGCCGTGATCCTCCTCGCACGTCTCGCAGAACCCCTCAGCGAGCGCTCCCTAGCTTCCTATCTGTTCTTTCAGCTCCAATGGTTCAATCCCGATATTGATCCCTCGGAAATTCCGAAGCAGATGGGCTACATTACAGCTACGTTTGCCGCTGCGCAATGTCTTACGTCTATGTGGTGGGGGAGAGCGGCTGATCATCCGAGACTGGGGAGGAAGCGTGTTTTGCTGATTGGCCTTGGGGGTTCGTCTTTGTCGGCGCTGGGGATGGGGTTCTCGAGATCGCTTGGGATGGCGTTCTTTTTTCGGTTTTGTGCGGGGGCTTTGAATGGGAATATTGGGGTTTTGAGGACCATGGTTTCTGAAATTGTCCCTGAGAAGCGGTAAGTTGAAAGAAGTCTTGGAGGACTCATTCACTGACTCTATACCTCAAGCCACAAAACAAGGGCTTTCCTTCTACTACCAATGTGCTTTAACGTCGGAGTTATCATTGGACCTCTGCTAACAGGCTTCATGGCCGATCCCGTTCGCACTCTCCCTGGAATCTTTGGTCCAGGTTCTCTCCTTGGCGGAGAAAAGGGCGTGCAATGGCTCGAGAAATTCCCTTACGCCCTGCCAAACCTCTTCTGCTTCTCCATCCTCATGTCAGCTTTTTTCCTAGTCATTCTTGGACTCGATGAAACGCACTCGCAGCTTCGACATCGCCCTGATCCTGGACGTAGACTCGGAAAGCTTCTTCTACAAATCATTCTTCGTCGAAAAAAAGACGCGCATCTTTACAGCTCTATCAACACTGAAGAACTGATGGATCATGATGCTGATCAAGAATCTGGGGGAACTTCAAGACCTGCTAAAGCGTACAGCAAGACTCGTCCTCCATTTAGAGACGTGTTGACCAAGAACGTCTGTCTTAATATGCTACAGCGCTTCCTACAATCCATCCACGTCTCAGCCTTCAACTCCATTCTTTTCAGTCTTCTGCCCACTCCTAAAGCAGACTCTACAGATTTCCATCTACCCTTCCGTTTCACCGGTGGTCTGGGTCTGTCAAGCGAGAGAATGGGTTTAGCCAACACGATTATCGGGACGATCGGCATCCCGCTTCAACTCTTCATCTACCCCAGACTCATTGGCAAGCTTGGCGTTAAGGCTTCATACAGTGCTTTCCTTCCACTAAGCATTATCGCATACTTCCTTCTGCCATACCTGGTTCTGTTGCCAGATAATACCGCTCTGGTGTGGACTTGTCTATCTGCGGTTCTGAGTCTGCAGGTACTGTCTCGAACATTTGTGAACCCTGCTACTATGCTACTTGTCAATGATTCAGCGCCGAGTCCGAATTTATTGGGCACAGTGCATGGTTTGGCTTCGAGTATTTCGAGTGCTGCTCGGATTATGGGGCCTACTGTTGGTGGAACATTGCTTGGATGGGGTCTTGCTCATAATCTTGTTGGACTGCCATTATGGGTCTTGACGATTTTGGCATCGGCTAATTGGGTTATCCTGTGGTGGATTGAAGATGTGAACATGTCCGAATGAGTTCTGGATTCAATTTCACTCATGAGAAACCTAATTTAACTTCTTAAAAAGGCCATGTCTCTTGTTTAATATGCTGTGATTGCCTCTGAGACTAGAGCCATGTTTTTGTAGTGTTGGGAATGGGTTTCTTATGGATATCCAGTATTCAGACCTCCGATACCATTCCTGACCTTTCCTCCGCCCCTCAGCATAGTGAGCCCAAGTTTCTTGTCTGCGCGAGAGCTTTCCCAAAGTGTACAACCAAACAGAAGCCACATGCCATTATGACCTGATGTCACAGATGCTCAATGGAGGGTTGTCCGACAAGTGCCCAGACTATTATGCGAGCAAGTGTTCCTTTAGGCTCATCTCAAAGCCTCTCATAAATGAAGCCGGTATCTCCATCGCATAGTCTCGCTCTCAGGCATCCGAATCCTCATCACTATCCTCCTCCACAACAAGATCAATGACCAAAGCCGCTTTATCATTCAACTTATCGAGCTGAAACCCCGCTGCAAGCGCATCAGTCGCGTCATGTATACACCCCGCAACATCAAGCCCAATATCATGCTCTTTGAGCGCAAGACAAATCACCCTAAAATGTTCATGGTGCAAATCCTCATCATCGGCTGCGTCAAAGATGAGAACAGCGTTGCGGTGGATAAGACAGAAATCTTCCTTTACTCCGGGGAATTTCTTGATAGCTGCTAGTTTTGCTGGCGTGCAGGATGAGCTGGCGACGAGGCGTGTGAAGATGCCGGCATTGAGAAGGGCGTCGACTGATGAGGGTGATTTTGGGTTGAAGATTATCACGTTAGGAGGGAGTCCTAGGGAGGGGGTTTGTGTCGTCATTGTGAAGGTGTAGCTCAATGAATTGGAGATAGAGAGGTGTTGGTGATAAGCCTCTTGGCGCGCAGAAAAAGTTGAGTGAGAGCAAATTTGGTTTAAAGCGTGATGAGTCATCCTGTTCAGGATAGATTCGCAGCCCAACAGTGATTCATTGCCCGACAATTGATAGCAAAGGATGATCAACAGGGAGCACAATATATAGTACTAATTAGCTTTAAGAACTTAGAAGAAATATGTATAACCTGACAATGATGTCTGTTTGCAGAGGATGTGTAGGAGAGAGAACATCAACAGTAGCCTAGCCCTGATCCTTGTCTGATCTCATCCTATCAGCCAGTACGAGCCATCGCGTTCGAGAATCCACTCAATCCTACCGCTGACGCTCAACCCCGCAGTAAGAAGACCATTTCTTATGCCCAAACACCTTTTCAAGAGTTGGGTATACTTTCGGCTGTCATATAATCTCTAAACGCGTCGCCACGATATTCAACGGCTTTTGTCTGATGATCCACTTGATAGTGCAATAACTCAGCCACAGAGAACATGTCTATGGAGAACTCAAGACTATGCTGCTTCTGCCGTAAGCTCGAGCCGGTAGACCAGCCTTGTCCTTCGATCCAGACTCAGTCAACTCAGGGTTTCCCCAGCGGTATAAATAATACTACGAAGCCATGGACCAGAGGTGACGAGAATTTACTGGAACAACTGCGCCAGCACCCAAGCGAACTCTGTCAACGATGTGCCGAATTCGACATCATCCGCGCCTTCAACGAAGCAGATCCTTTAGATGAAAGCCAAAGAGGCGAGCTAGAAAAGGCTCAGTATATCCAACACGCTGAAAAGCAGGAGCCATACAGACTACGCTTCGGTCTTCTGTCACAATTCCACATGAAGTCTTCTTGCCCGCTATGTCGGTTACTCTATCGACTCATCCCCAGGCCACCGCCAGAGCACGATACTACTGTTCTCACTCTTATTCCATATCGATGGCACATCCGGCAGGATCACTGGGAAGGTGTCCCAGAAGATGACAAGCGAATGTTTGCAATCTGGTTCGGTCTTTCAACGCCTGGTCTCGATATGTCTGGACCGAGTTTCTTTAACGCGGGTCAGCAGTTGAGAGTTGCTATGATGACTGGCGAAGCCATCGCTCTGCATCCAAACTCATCTTCAGAGGAGTTTTATAACGCTAGGGTTATTGATGGGATGGTTGATGTTGATCTCATTAAGAGGGGCCTTGAGCATTGTCAGATGTATCATTCAGAGCAGTGTAATGCCAAGTTTGACAAAGGTCTGCTGATTACGAAGATGCTTGATGTTGAGACTCGAAAGGTGGTAGACTGTCCTGATAATTGTGATTATCTGGCGCTTAGTTATGTCTGGGGCGGTATTCATCCTGCTGATGGAGCTTTGGAAGCCGGGACACTTCCTCAGACGATCGAGGATGCTATCACTTTGACCAAGAAGCTCGGGAAGCGATACCTATGGGTAAGTGGTCTCGGTTGCTCTGCAAGCTCTCGCTAACGGTGAAGGTTGATGCACTCTGTATCGATCAAAGCCCCAACCCCACGCCCGAACAAGCAGCTAGCAAAGCCAAACAGCTTCAAGTCATGCACTTGATCTACTACTGCGCCACAATCACCATCTTTGCCGTCGCAGGTCCGCGCTCCGACTACGGAATCCCTGGGATATCAAAGCCCCGCGTTGGGTCTACACGAGAGCGCATCAACGGAAAGGATCTAGTAATAGTCCCCCCGCAGATCGTATCAGAGATCAAGTCTTCTGTTTGGCAGACTAGAGCTTGGACGTGGCAAGAGGATGTTCTGTCTACGAGAAAGTTGTACTTGACAGAGACGCAGTGGATACTCCAGTGTAATGAGACATTGGGACCGAGTGATTATGCCGAGGCGCATGATACGGCTGTGAATCTTACTTGGACTACGGTTTCTGGTGGTAAGATGAAGGCTGGTTTCGTTGAGGTAAGTCGGGAAAGTACTGTTCAGACTTTTGAAGCTGACACTTGCAAACAGGCTACAAATACCGAGTTCCTTGATAGAACTTCCTCCATGTTCATATCCGCTGTAACGACTTATACCTCGCGGTCTCTCACCAACGATGGTGACTCTCTGAACGCCTTCCAAGGTGGCCTCGCACGCTTCGGTAAACCAGTCTACCCTCAAGGCTTCGAATGGGGCATGCCACTGAAAGAGTTTCCCCAGTCATTAGCTTGGATTCATGATCATACAGTCAAGCCGACGCGCAGAGCTGCATTTCCAAGCTGGAGTTGGGCCGGATGGGGCGGAACCGTGCAGTGTCCCACTGACCTTACCGAAACAGCTACTGAGAACGGTGATCTCATTCCACGAAGGCTCAGTATTGATGATAAAGTGGTTACTCTGGAAGGATGGACTGTAACGCTTGATATTCGGACCGAACCGTTCAGTGAGGTGGTTATACCGGGGACTGATCAGGCGATTGGATGTGTTACCGAGAGGAATTTTAAGCATAACATGACCTTGCCAACAGGGAAGTATCGGTGTTTTGTTGCGGCGAGACTTAAGAAGGAAGTGTTGAGGAATGGATTGGTGAACCAGTTGGTGTTTCTGGTGGTTTTGAAAGGCGATAAGGATGTTGAGGTTGAAGAGAGGCAGACGGCTATCACAGTGAGCAGACTGGCTATTGAAGGAAAGGATTTTAGGGAGTTTGGTCCCAAGAAGACAGTTATCAAGATGAAGTAGAACTAGGGCTTTTATTGAGGTACATAAATAAAGATTCTTGATCAATTTTTAAATGCAATAAGTCCTCCAGTTTATGTGTATCTATCATTTTCATTAAATCATGTACGTAAATCATTTCTATCATTTTTCATTCTTCATTCCAAGGCACTCAACCATCGCGACAAATCCTTCGCTCCATCCGCAGTCCTAAACTTATGCCCATCATCCCACGGCGCAACCTCCGCCGGCTTCACAATATGCGCCAACTGCAAATGCGCAACCGCCATCATCGACGACGCCGATATCCTCACCCCCGAACTCAACGACACAGACGTCAACAGATCAATCTCATGTTTCCGCACCGTATCAGACGTCGTATCCTTCTCCTGATCAAAAATAGCCCGCCAGTGCCCTGTCCGCGCAAGTTGAGACCGGATATCCTGCTCCTCTTCGTACACTGCTTCTTCGAGGGTGCTGTTGCTGAACGCGGAGGAGGATTCTTGTATGCCGCGGATTTTGCAGAACCATTCGATTTTGGAGCCAGTGACTTCTATGCCGAATACTAGGGTGGCGATGAAGACGGACGCGCGCTTCTCGTTCTTTTTTATGCTTTGCATGCCTTGGATGGCGAGGACGCGGCCGTAGTGGCCTGCTTGATCCCAGGATTGGAGGCTGATGGTTCCGGATTCGAGGCGCGGGCAGGATGTTATGCTGTCGTAGGGGATGGCGCCGCTGTCGAGAGTGACGAGGACTTCGTAGCTGCCGTAGCCATGGAAGTCAGGTTGGTATGAGGCGCGCTCTCGACTCCCAGCGATGAACATGTTTTCTTCTCGGAGTTTGGTAGATCCTGTGAGGACTGGTACTGGACAGGGTGGTGTTCTGTTACGGGTGCAGCGATCCTTTCCTGGTAGTCTGTTTAGAAGTAATGCGACTTGTTGGTTCTCAGAGTCTCGTCTGGCGTTGAGGAGAACGAGCCATTGCTCGACTGATTCGGTAATGGTGTTCATGATAGGTAGTCTGATTGACAGACCTGCATTCGTCATGGTATATGTTTTCGCTTCGTGGACAGGCCATTCGGTGTAGATACTCGAGTCGACAAAGGTCTTGGGCGATGGGGAGAGAATGCTAGCCCAGTCGTGAGGAACGTATCGCTCGTCCCAGGCCCAGCAGAAGAGTGTCTGGTCGTTTGAGACACGGATAATCTCTTCTTGTAGTCGGATAAATGCCCGCATTCCTTCGCCGTAGATGATCTGCATGTTGATGTCAAAGATACCCAGCATGCAGTAGGCGATATCCTCGACTCTTTCAGTCTCTCGTTTGGATAGCCAAGACATGCGCTCGCCGATACTGGCCTTGTAAAAGGTACAGTCGAGATATTGCTGATCAATCTTGGTAACAAACGAAATCGTATTGGCAAGCGTCTTCCTCGTCCCAATAGTCGTCCAATCATTCGCAAAAAACACCACCGACGTAGGAGCCAAAAGCTCAGGCAGCGTCCACCCTCTAGTAAACCACCTCGACTGTCTAAACTGCACCATCGGATCAAAAGCGCCCGTATCAATGGGCGCCACATCACTCAGATACACATAACAAACCGACGCATTCTTGTACCAGGAAAACATGGCATTCAGCGCCTCAGAAACCTCTGAACTGCTGCTCTTGTCGATACAGTTGGTGTCGCACCAGAGATACATGAGGCCATCCTTTCTCGCCTGCTCGCAGACGCGGCGGATCTTCTGATGCCCCTTCTTGAGCTTCATGAGCTCGAGGTTGCCCTGCCAGTCTTGGTACGTGGCCTCGTCGGGACCCCATGTGTGTGATAAAATGGCATATTCGGGAGGCTGGCCGTAGAATTCCTCTAGCTGGAAGGTTTTGGTGTGTATGAGACGCATTCTTCTGGCGGGACATTGAAGGAACAGGGGGTATAGGTGAGAGAAAATGAGAGAGGTGATGGGGTTTGAGGGGGGAAGTGAGGAGAATTGTAGGGGCTTGAAATAGGTATCCATACCGATTAATGGGTTTTGGCGGTGAAGCCCCACTGGTGGAATCGCGATGATGTGGCATGCATATTGGGGATGGTACAACGATGCTAGATTTGCTGGCAGGTAGTTAAAACTCTGAGCTTGTTGTCATGAGTCAGAGTTTGGTATCCTTGGGATTAAGTGGTATAATTGATGCCCAAGTGGATTTGCCAGCGAAGGATGTATCGGCGATGGCACCGCCTTTTGTGGTGTTGTATGATATGATGCGATGCCCTGGTCCTTGGCGGATGTACTGGCGATCCGTGTTCCTGCAAGACACTTGATTGAGGAGGATGTTGCGGGTATGCATGTCGTAGATTATGCAGGTGCAGCAAAGACACGATGTGGACATGGACAAGGTGTTTGTTGCTCCACTGATGATTCGTGGCATGATGTCTATTTTGAGTGCTGTTCGTCTGGCATGGCGATGAGTTAACTCAACAATAAGACACAGAAAACTGAGAGTTATCATATGGAGGAACATGTCATCATTGTAGCACTGGATGTTACTGTTTGCAGCCCAATGTCACACAACGAGCGGGCGTTGAAGTGAAACGGCCCAACGGCGGTGAAAAGCAACCTGAAATAAGTCATTGGCAACTTAACCTTTTATAACAAATATCACATGTTTGGCCTTTTTGACAATAAGCTCAACTGCAAGCCCTAAGTTTGGACTAAAATAGTATAATCTCATCATACGAATGTGGTTCACGTCGACGTTCTCTTGAAGTAAACAAGGTACCTGGCGCTACTTCAGCGCTAACATTGCTCCCTCAAATCTGCCCCAAAGCGGATACTCAGCAAGTAGTGCCGTGGTATTTCAATCTGACTAATGTTCATCAATGAATGACAACGCCAACAAATCCAAAGCAAAATGAGTGTCCCCATCCAACATCCCATGTCATTCTCAAGGCAATCCACTGACATTAATAGCCAAATATCGATCCGCAAAAGACCCCTGTGTATAATTCTGAGGTGTCTTGAGCGACGGCACAAGATGCACCGGTACCCTAACCGTCAAAACACCACGACCTGCGATATAAGTCGAGGTCAATCCAGAGTCAATAACCGTCATGCCACTCTCATCCTCAAAGTCAACGCTGATCTGTGACTCAGGCGGTGCAGTGGCTTGCACGGTCCAGATGGCGAAATTGTAGGTGTCGCCGACGGTTGTTTTGGCGTCGTAGCCGTCCCATTGGTGCCGAATGGTGATTTTACGGTTTGTCTTGGTGTTTTCCTGGAGCTCTGTTAGTTCATGATAAGCATAGAGAGATTAGAGGTGTTACCTGAGTGATCTTGACTTCGCGGTATTTACCCTTTGCTTTGGTGTACGTTGCTGCATCTTTGTACTTGTGCTGAGGCAACTCGATGGGTGCACTGTCTCGGCTGACACCGTCATCCAGATACATCGAGTATGACTACAATAACACTTAGCGTGAGATGTTTGAGCATCAGGGCAGTACTTACGGTAGGCTCAGTAACCTTACCACCTGGGTATACATGAATGGTAGGCGGGTTCAGATCGCCCTCCTTGACATACTGACGAACTTCAAGCTGAGGAATGATAGCACCTTCACACTGTCAGCTTTCTCCATGACATCAGTAGTTTATACTCACCCCCTCGGATATACACAGGAGTAACATAAGCGACCTGCTCCGGATCCGCGACAGCATCAGGAATATGGCAGTCATAGTCCACGATCTTGCCACCAGGAGCTGGCTTCTGTAGCACAGCAGCATGTTTGAGAATTGGATCCGGTCCAAAGCCTTGGTTGTTGACTCGAAGGTTGGAGGGATACCACTTGTCCGAGTTTGGAAGATAGACATCGCGACGTCTTGCCTTTTCCTCGACCTGGGGACAGACGAGTATGTTATGGCCGAGAAGGTACTGGTTGTCAATGAATCCTTGGTTGGAGTTGAACAAACTTGTATCAAAGGGGTCGGTAACGAGCTAGATAAATAAGTGAAACAGTCTTGTCTGGTGGGATTGAGGACATACCATTGCACGAGCGACTGGCAAACCATTGATCAGGTTGGCAAACATGTAGTCATACAAGACTTGAAGCAGTGAGTATCGAAGCTGCACATAGTACCTACAAACAGGTACAACGGAGCGATACAACGCAGCCTGGTCAGGCGGGAGAGGGCCGGGGAAATTATTGAGAATATCGCCATAAGCCCATGGTTCCTATTCCTGTCAGTATCTCACCCTCGCATCTCAGACAAACTTACCTGAAAAGCCTTACAACCCCCAGAACTAGCCTCAGGATGCTGCAAATAATGATTCCGATACCACGGCAGCGCAAACGCCCCCGCATACCACCTAATCAACAACTCAGGATCACACCACCGCGGATTCGGCAGTGTATTCGCTGGATCAGCCGTAAAACCACCCATATCCACGCCCGCGATACTCAAACCACTGTACCCCAGCGCAAGGACCTGCGCAACAGAGATTCTGAAAAAGTCCCACGAGCTACCGTTGTCGCCGGTCCAGAGGCCTGCGTAGCGGTGCATGCCGGTCTGGCTTCCGCGGCCGATGATGAAGTTGCGTTTGTTCTCGCGGCCTTTGAGGTTGTTTAGACCGTGGTATGTTGCCTTGTGGAGGTTGTAGGAGTAGAGACTCCAGAGCTCGATGGCGGTTTTGGTCTTGGGGGGGTTGGTGTAGGAGTCGTCTGTCATGAGGAGACGGGAGGGGAAACTGGCGTTATTAGAATGGGAGGATTAAGGGGGGGGAGCAGTATCAGTATCTCTTCGACAACGGTCTCGAATTCGTCCGGCAAGGTACGCCGCACGACAAAACATATTCACCAACTCAAGCTAACACCCTAATCAGACATGACAA